CAAAGGGAAGCTGGGAGAGGGGGGGGGTGAGATGGGGGGGGGGTGCCCCCTCCCTTCCAACTGAAAGGAGAAGTGGACAATACGCTAATTGAGAGGGGGAACTGATCACAGGGTCTGTTCAAAGGGATGCTGGCCACGCCCCCTCCTCTCTCCGACGCACTTAATTTTATTAGTGTTTATGGTGATGCTTCAGCCAAAATTATCACTCAAACCCACGGCAGCCTTTGAACTCCCGATTTTGGGTTATTTGCAATTATCCACTCTCTCCCCTTCTGTTTTTTCCTGTGGTATTTCAGCCGGAGTGGAGGATTTGTGCGGAGGGAAGGCGGACAAAATAAGCCGTATAGAATTTATTGTCCGCGTTGTGGGAACATGGGCTGTGGGCTGTGATGTGATGTGATGCAAATCCAGAGGTTCTTGCGGAAAAAAAAGCGACAAAAAGGGTTGAATAAAGGCCTTATGTTTGACTGATGCAACTAATGATGCACCATCAAAGACTTCTGCAGCTCTGTAGTAGCGAGAGAAGGAAGAAAGAACAAGAAAAGAAAAGTTTTTTTCAAACAAAATCATTCCTCCCATTCCACTGTCATAATTTAAGTCCTCTATCTATTTCCGTGTGTCCTGATGACACCTCGGCTGACAGAGGAGAAATGAATACTTTCCCTTCCCCTTTAAAGCGGGCTCTAATTAAAGATGAGCTTTGTTTCCAGTCTGCGGCGACACACCAGATGCCTTTAATTTCTCCCAAAACCACAAGCTCTCAATTAGCCTCCAGGTCACCCCGTTTTATTGGGGCTTCATAGCACGTCAGTGGCAGCACTCTGGGCCCGTATTGTCCTTTTAAAGCATTTGGATCTCCCTGTGAAATGGTTAGGGTCCCCACAAAGGGGTCAGGGCAGGGTCAACATCAAAAAAGGGGGCTTCTCGTGGCGACCGGCACCCTCGTTCCTTTTTCCTTTTGTCGCCGCTAAACACAAGAGCGCACACTCAAGGGTCAACAGGTGTGGTCCCGGGGGCTTAGCATCTCATAACCCCTAAAGAAATTCATTCAAATTGGGAGTAAGTTGTGTTTCAGCTGCAGCTCTGGTGATGACAGCAGTCAGCTTTGTCAAAAAAGCTGATTAAAAGCGACTGGCTGCGTAGCCAGGGCGTTCAATGCCTTCAAAGGCAGTCGTCTGTGCAGAGATTCCTGCCTGTCAGCAAAAATATACCCGTCCCTGGACTTATGTGCGGCCTAATTTAACTGAGTGGGGATAACATCTTATCCCGGAAAGATAAATATCCCCCTTTTAAGATTGTTCGGCACCCACCTAAAATATCACGCCCGATTTTTCGGCTCCTCTTTTAAAGTTTGGGTGCCGATAACACTGTGGCCATATCCTTAATTCATCACTAAAATGCCCATAGAACGTCCCAGTGACCCATTTTGGGCTTTATCAAGCCCCATATTATTGCGAGGGAGAGTTTTGCTAACTTTGGGTGCTGCAAAGTTTGCATTTTAGTGAGAAAGTTTTTGTTTTAAAGAGTTTTGCATGGTCACATTCAAACATTAACAGATATTAAAGGCACACAAGCAAGATTTCCATTGATGGAGTTGATTATATTTACAAGAAAACGGATGGAAGTCAAAATTTAGATTGTTTTTTTTTGTTTCAAATAATACATAATGGTCAATATGGGGAAAATGTAACTGATTACACCTGAAATTACTCTATCTAATCTTAACAGTCTCAGAATAACCAGCTGTCTCTCTCACCGTTTATGATTCAATATCCTAAAAATCCCCAGAGATTAAAGTAACTCCTGAACAAGAGCTTTTGCAGATGTCCCCCACAGTTGTTGTTGTCTTCTCTTTTAGGTTTGTCCCCTTATAGATATAGTTTATGTGCTTCAGTCAGTTTATAGGAGTAAACATTTAAAACTGTAACTTGGAAATCCTGTTTGTCTACAGGATAAAGAGACACAGTATCAGGAATCCAAATAATAAATTACAGATGACGTCGAGTGCTAAATAATCACTTTGTGTAATAAAAAGCGAAGACAGTCACCATGAGACACATTAGCAAGATGTTAATGGAGGGAGATACCGACACAGATTTGGGTTCACGTGGGAGTTGCCGCGCATTATGCTTATTTTTCTACGCCTAACCTAATATGAATTAATCACACTTTGTGACCTCAGAGAAGTTGGATTTCATTAGCTATCTCGTCCTTTACCATCAGAAGAGCTTTGTGAATTTGAATCCTCTGACTTATATAATTATATTCTCCTTTAAAGTTGATTTTAAACATCAAAGGGACAATATAGCCTTTGAAGTACCATGGGATTGGATCACTGTCTAACCCACTCTTTAAGATTCTGTCACAATGACATTAGGGAAGTCATGTGAATTAAAAGACTAGGGAACAGCTCTTGCCTTTGCTCTGTGTCCAATTTCAATCAAAATGTCATGCTGTGCCATTTTGCCTGAATGTGGAACTAGCAAGTGTGTTACACTGACATCTTTGAGGCAGAAATCCTGTGACTAATATGGAAATCATCAGACAGTTTACCGAATCAGGCCCATAACTTAAAGGACAACTTTTAATTCGTTGTGTACATTGTCTGTGATTGAATTTAACCACAGATGGTTTAAAAAACGTTGCACTTTTGGAGGTCATATTTAAGCGAAACCACAAGTTTTTATGCTTAAAATTAGATTAGGAAGTCATTTTAAATACATCCTGCTTAAACAGGTGATAAATGGTGAATAATACCAAAGAGCTTTGAGGCAGTGTGGGCTATAATAAGATATAAAGGCTTCAATGGCTTCCCCTCAGTTAGCTCTGAACCCTCTTCTGTCACTTGAGGAGGTCACAGGCAACAAAGGAGCTGCTTTTGTTTGCTTTGTGTGTCCGTTGAAACTTTGTGTAGTAACAGAAGGACAGTGAGAATAATACTACTGGCGCGGTGGATCACCTACTTATGAGCTCCAAAGCCTCGGGGAGTTGGCTCAAGATTGCTCGTCTTTGAGAAGGTCCTGGCTAACCGCTAAAGGCAAACTTTAAGAAGCGCTCGCGCGGCTCCACACGTTCAGAACCGCGCGAACAAAACAAAACAACAACCAAAACAACAACTCGGTGGTGTAAATTCCCGCCGTCTGCTGTTGGCTGTTTTTGTTTTGGGGCTTTTCTTTTTTTTTGACATCCCGGGGGGGGGCTCAGACGAGCCGCCGGGTTTTTTTAATTTTTAATATTTTTTAGGTCTCTTCCGGGACCAGGCCGGCGGTTCTCCGCTTTGAAGTCCGCCGTTAAACCTTTAGCCCATTGGTGTAGAAACAGCCGGGAGGATTTCTGCCGCCTGCCATGACTTCTTGAAACACTAACCCGCCGGAGAAACGTCGGGGGGAAACGGGGGAAATTGAACCGGACCGGACCGGCGTGAGGACTGGGGTTCTGATCAGAGGCTGCCCGGGTTTACGCGCACGGTGAGTCGGAGGAAAGCCGTTGCGCAGGCCCCCTCTTTCGGCCGCTTTGATGTGCTGCCGCCGCGCTTTGAAGTTGAGAAACGCGGGCTATGTTTCTTGTTTGTGGGCGAGAGAAATACGGTGAGATAGATAAGAGGCTTACGCGTGCGCGCGCGCGACTCTATGAATGTGTAGCGCAGATAAATTCTTTTTTTTCTTTTCTTTAAAAAGCGGAATATTTTGCGGGGTGGTGCTTCTCCGTGCTGGGAAAAAGTGTGATGTATTCTTCAGTCGAAGCCCCCCCCTCCCCACCCCCCCCCCCCCCCCCCCCCCCCCCCCCCCCGGTGGTCTATAGGCGGAGCGCCGGCCTCCTCTGAGGTCAGTCTCTGAATGGGACGCAGCACAGCCAACTACTGCGCGCGCTCCGCAGCGACCGGCTCACATGTGGCGCCGCGCAGGCTTCAAATAGTCCGCCCCGCGCGCTCCGCCGAGCCGGAGCCGATCCGGAGAGTTGTTCCGCGGACGGCGTCGGTCTCGGACAGGAAATGGAGTAACTGCGCAACTTTTCTCTCGGGTTTTCCTTTTTTTTCTCTCATTATTCCGGTTGGACCTGCCGTGCCATGGTATGTTGCTTTGCTCTTTATTTGTTTAGTTTTTTTTTCGTTTTTTCACCCCCTCCGTGTGTGCTTTGGGACTTTAGGCGTGTTTCTGATGCTGTGGAGCGAACTGTTTGGCTCGGCACGGCACGGCACGGCTCGGCTCGCCTGAGCTGCTGGTTGTCAGACTCTTTACTTCTTGAGCGGAGTTTTGGCTGGAGCTGCGGCTCCACGCCGCGTTTGGGTTCACCTTTTCCCGGGTTTGGAGTTGAGGCGCTCGCGGATGGACGGTTGCCTTCTCGCGCGAGGATTTTAAAAAACTGTGCTTATTTTTTTTACCTTATTTTGCAGTTTTAAATCATTGTGCCGCGGACCAAAAGTGTAGGTCTGTTCCCTGGAGCTGAGTGTGAGTCTGTGTGTGTCTGCGTGTGTTTGTGTGTGATGAAGGAAAGGTGGAGGTTCGGTTGTTCGAAGCAGATTGGGAATTAATTGGAGTTGAAGCCTGTGACACGGACTCGTTAGGAAAACACGTGTAAGCCACAGTTGTGATGGTGGAGAGCGAGTCTGTGCTATCTGACTATTCCTGTAAAATGTTTTTTGATGTGGCAGATGAATCCAGGCGGAGAATGTGGGATGCAGTTGATCTCTCGTTTAGGTTATAAATAGATAAATGAAACGTGGGGGGAAAAGCCTTTCATATTTCCTTTTCTCTGTGAACCCGGCGAGCCTTTTTTTTTTTTCCTTTTTTTTTTTTTTTTTTTGAAAGGGACTGTTTACTTGATGTCTGTCTTTGAAGTTCGGCAGGATCTGGCTTTGATTAGATCAATACTTTGTGTTCCAGAGTGAAGAGGAGCTGAGACGCTCCCCCGCTGCTTTCAGAGAGTGAAAGCGGGATTAGGCTCGGAGCTCCGCGGAAGGCAGCAGCTCTCTCCCCGCGCCCAGAGCCGGAGCCGGAGCCATGAGCCGGGCGCTGACGGAGCCCATCAGCAGCAGCTTCCGAGAAGATGCCCCCCGTCCCCCGGTGCCGGGCGAGGAGGGAGAGGCGCCATGCTACAACCGATCTGCCAAAATGAGAGCCCAGAGCAAGGCGAAGGACGCCCCGGTCCCCGGCTCCGTCCCCGTCCCCGGCTCCACTCCGCGGAGGAACGAGGACGGGCTCGGGGAGCCGGAGGGCAGCGCGTCGCCGGACTCGCCTCTGGTCCGGTGGACCAAGTCCCTGCACTTCCTCCTGGGCGACCAGGACGGCGCCCAGCTCTTCAAGACCTTCCTGGAGCGGGAGAACTGCGCGGACGCGCTGGACTTCTGGTTCGCCTGCAACGGCTTCCGGCAGATGGACCTGAGGGACAGCAAAACGCCGCGGGTCGCCCGAGTCATTTTCAAGCGCTACGTGGAGAACAACAGCGTCGTGGCGAAGCAGCTCAAGCCGGCCACCAAGACCTTCATACGGGATAGTGTCAAGAAGCAGCAGATAGACTCGGCCATGTTCGACCAGGCGCAGACGGAGATCCAGGCGCACATGGAGGAGAACGCCTACCAGATGTTCCTGACCTCTGACATATACCTCGACTACGTGCGCACGGGCTGCGAGAACGCGGCGTACATGGCGCACGGCGGGCTGGGCAGCCTCAAGCTCGTGTGCGGATACCTGCCTCCCCTCATGGAGGAAGAGGAGTGGAGTTGCGCGGACTTGAAGGCGAAAGCCTTCGGCTCCGTGGTGGGACTGTCCGCCAAAAACCTGCGGGCCACGGCCACCCTCCGGACGGCCGCGGAGCTGCTGGAGAACAGCTGCAGGTAAGCACCCCCTTTTCCACTCCTCCCCCTGGCTGCTTGCTTTCCTTTTTGACTCGTCGTGACCCCCACTAACTCGTTAAACTCGGGGTATGTGGCAGTTATTTCCCAAACGCCCGAGACGGGAGAGAAGGGGAAGGGGAAAGGGAGAGGAGGCAAAGCCACATGATCAAAGCGTCTCAGAGGAACGTGCCTGTGTGTTTGTGCCCTCCTGCCTTGCAGTTAGTCAAGGGGGTTGGAGGGGTGGGCGCGGAACATCAGTGCATCTGAGCCTTCCTTTTAAGTAAATGCTGTCTTGCAGGCAGCCCTCTGCCGGCTTGCTCAAGTTTCCTGTGCTTTGAAACCCTTCCTCCGGTTCAGGAATGAATCCAGACTCATCCAGAAGCCATTGTAAAGTTGAGCTGCATTTTTTTGTCTCCAGCCCCCCCCACCTCCTCTTCCCTTCTCTCTGCCCACTAGAGCTGACAGTTATTGTTCAATGTCACCAAATCTGGCTAATCTGGGGAAACGCTAACAGCTGAGGCGAGTCGGACTCCGACTCCAGGCGGAGATCTTGTTCTCTTGGTGGGAGATGAAAGCGGAGCTGTTTGTGGAAAGCTTTTGCTTTTATCTTAAGAGCTCGTCCCACACATTGTCCAACAGCTGAAGTCTTTTCAAGCCAGGAATATTTTCAAACTGGATTTTTATGCATGAGCCTGCATCAAAGGGAGTTTTTTTCCCTTTTAAATTCTATTTATTTATATTTCAACCAAACAACTCGGTCCTAACATCTGGATGTAATTATTCCTCTGAGGCTTGATAATGGCTCGATGCTTTGGCTTGGTAAGAAAAGTGCGAGTTCACAGATAATCCCTACCTCTCCTGTCACATTATCTGGGATTCAAATAGTCGGCAGAATAAAGGTGATAAAGTGAAATACCTCCTGGAGGATTTTAGCCTCCATGGGAGCAGATGTCAGATAACATCAGGGCTCAGTGGCCCGCTTGCTTGGAAGTGGCAGGAACCAATAAGCTCGGGGTTTGTTGACATGTGGGCACATCCTGCTCTCCCGGTGTGATCCCCTGCATTCTTGTTTTTCACTGGAAGAATAGCAGGAGGGGAAAGAGAGAAAGAGAGAGAGAGAGAG